TGGACAAGTCTTAACTTTTATAAAGAATATCTCTTTGGATTTGAGACTTTAGTCTTTGCAACTTTACAGATCTTCTTTATGCACCAAGAGCTTGTAACACTCCAAAGAGAAAGAAAAAATTGAAATAGCATCATATGACCCCTTTAAAAGCTGTTCGTGCATACAGAAGATCCGTAAAGTCGCAAAGATTAAAGTCTCAAACCCAAAGAGATATTCTTTATAAAAGTGAACGCTCAGCCACGCCTACCTAAAATGCCTCGTTTAAACACGCCCCCACATGTCTACGTCACTGTGTGGGAAGATTTGCATAACACCGCCCAAATGTATACGCAAAGAAAAAAGGCGTAACTTTTATTCTCGCTGCAGTATTGTTGCTGCCTTTGCCATGTCGTGGAGACGCTGTGTGTTTTGTTGCGAAAGCCAAACTACTTTTGTTTTTTACTTTGCCTTCCAGTGGTTAAGTTGTATTTACAATTTACAACTCAAATATTCGAGTGTGTGCAGCGCATTTTACGGAGCAAAGTTTCCTGAACCTAGTAAGGGGCGTAACATTTCCGTCACACACTTGAGGAATTCGGCCAATCATAACGCACTAGATAGCTGGCCAATCAGAGCACACCTCGCTTTTCAGACCGATGAGCTTTGTAAAAATCGACGCGTTTCAGAAAGGCGGGGCATCGTCATATGACCCCTTTAAAAATACACCAAAACAGTAATATTGAGCAATATTATTAGAATTTAAATGAACTTTTCTATTTCAGTATATTAAAATGTAATTAATTCCTGTGATGGCAAAGCTGAATTACTCCAGTCTTCAGTGTCACATGATCCTTAAAAAATAATTCTAATATGCTGATTTGGTGCTCAAGAAACATTTCTTATTATTATCAATGTGAAAACACTTGTGATGCTTAACATTTTTTTGGAAACAGTGACACATTTTATTCAGGATTCTTCGATGAATAGAAAGAATAGCATTTATTTGAAATAGAAATCTTTTGTAACATTATAAATGTCATTTTTTATCTAAAAATGATCAAATTTCTTCAAATTCTTTCATTAAAATCTTTCCTTATACCGAACCAAACTTTTAATGGTAGTGTATAACATCCCACTATGATCTGTCTATGGGAATGATACAAATCAAAACTCTTCTCACCTTCCACTGCCACCTCTCGAGATCGCACTAAGTCACTTTTGTTGCCCACAAGGATGATGGGAATGTTTTCAGCCTGCCGGATGCGACGCAACTGGATTCGTAACTCCGATGCGCTCTCAAAGCTGCTGCGGTCGGTGATGGAGTAAACGATGATGTAAGCATTGCCCACCTGCATGCAGTAATCCTGCACCCACTTCTCATCTTCCTCCTTGGGCATAAAAAAAGTAGTTAAACATTTTAAAGGAATACTTTACAAAAAATGTAAATTCATTGTTTACTCAACCTCATGTAGTTAAAAAAAACCTTAACTTTCTTTCTTTAATGAAACACAAATAAGTGACAAACACAAGATATTTTTACTGAAGAAATTATTCTTTTTTTTTTTCAAAACAATCACAAGGTTTTCAAGCTTCAAAAACAAAAGTATCATAATAGTAGTCCATACTCACGTCATATTTTCTACACTAACGATGTAGTAAATTAGTAAATGTAGTAAACGATGTAGTAACAATGCTAAAGGTTTGGGGTCAGTACTTTTTTTAAATACTTTTGTTCAGCAAGGATGCATTAAATTGATCGAAAACAACAGTAAAGACTTTTATAATGTTATAAAAGTTCATATATGCCCCCCCCCCCCAAAAAAAGCTGCATAACTTTTTCAATGATCATAAGAACTTCTTATGATAATAATACCCTTCTTTAGCACCAAATCAGCAGATTAGAATGATTTCTGCAGGATCATGTGACACTAAAGACTGGAGTAATGGATGCTGAAAATGTAGCTTTGCATCACAGGAATACATTTTACATTTTTTAAAATATATTACAATTGAAGACAATTACTTTAAATTGTAATAATATTTCACAATATTACTGTTTTTACTGTAATTTTAATCAAATAAATGCAGACTTGGTGAGCATAAGCGATTCTTTAAAAAAATATTTTTTTTTTTTTTTAAATCTTTTGAATAGTCAGGGCACTTGTACTATACTTTCATGTTGCTTTTTGTTGTCATTTTGTAGTCCTCATTCCTTATACAAGGAAAAAATGGCCAGGATGTTCTTCAAAAATTTTACAGAAAAAAGCAAGTCAAAGAGGTTTGGAATGACATGAGGGTAACTAAATAATGACAGTTTTTGTTTTAGGACGAACTATCCCTTTAAACAATTGTGCATGTACTGAGAGGTGAACAACAAACAACCGAAAGCTGTGTGTCACGAAAAAAGTTGTGCATTGTAAGACCCTGTATACGTACCCCCTGTAATCTGTAAGTACTGAATAATTTATCTCTGTAAACAATTCTTGAGACCAGAAAAGCCTTGTTGCCAGACAGACCTCACAGAGGAGAGTCATCGATAGCGGTGTAATTAGGCCCCAGAGTGATCAGTGTACTTGGCTGTGTGGTCAGCAGCAAGGGCCAGCTGTATGTTGCATGCTTGCTCACTGCAGGGCATCGCTCAATGGTGTTTAGCCACTGGCAGCAAGTGGCCATGTTTTTTCCACAGCACTGCACAAAGGGCATTGTGGCCCTGTAGGTGAGACTTGTGTCTGCAAAGCACAGACTCGTGGCTGGCAAGACACAAGCAACCCCCTGAAGACCACATGCCTTCAGATTTTCCTTTATTTACATTCGGTAATTCAACGAATAGGTTACTGAGGCGAATATGTTGAGACATTAATGTATGATGTTTGCATACCTGTTTTTCTGTTTCCCATGTGTCCATCACAACTAGGGTCGTCTCCTCCCCATCGACCGTGAGGGTTCTCTCATATGTATCCTCTATAGAAACATGCACACTACTTTCAGTTGATTGGGCACAAAACATCAATGACATCAATCTGACATCCAAAACAGCATTGCCATGTAAGGATAGATGCTACAAACAACTAGGTCAATGACACTGACACTCATTTTTTATCTAGTCCTATCTATTAATTTACTCAAAATACTTAAATAAATAAATAAATCAATTAAACTTAAGCTCATCTATTCTATATTGCTCATGTTTTTAATTTCTGCATTAACATTAACAATTAAATTAATTTTATTTATTTTGTGGCAGACAAAGTCACAATAAAGATTTAATAATAAAGAAATAGACTTATTATAAAATTATTAAAAAGAAAACTTTAACTTCAAGTAATTTGGCATAATCTACTATTTAAATGTGTGTTTTTAGCTATAAAAGTTTATAAAAGCATTTCACTGCATATTAATAAATAAAACTTTTGTCAACAAATCAAAGACATGTGACCCAACCAACAAGCAGAAAAAAATATTACATTAAAAACTAAAAAAAACAACAACATCAACAACATAAATTACCCCTGATGAGACTTCCCAAAAACATACCTTTTACCTTGAAACACATTTTTTTTTAAATATATAAACATTTTCTTGGAAATTATAGATTTAAGTGTGTGCACAATGTATTAGGAAATTATATTATATTATTGCTTTTTAAAGTAATGTTTTACTTTAAAAAGCAATATTTAAGATATTTACTTTATCAGGAATTGACCAAACTGTTAAAAAACAACATTTTTGCTGCTTTTAATCTGATACATTTGAACAGTGCTTTATTACAATAACGAGTGTGAAAAATGCATGTGAAGTGGAAGAGTGGAAAGATCACTGAGCCGTGTCTGATAAACTGATCGCGTAGCTAGTTTGACAAGAAGTTAAAACACACTTTGCTCCAGTCTAGGTTGATACTGACCTTGTCTCATTTTTCCAGTTTCCACATTTACTCTATGTCACTTTTCGAGACCTCTACAAGATATATAGCACTTAAGGACAAACTTGGCCATGAAACATGTGAATTCACGATAAAGAATAACAGTGTTCTTAATCAACTTCAATGCCTCATGTCAGCTAACATCTAAATGTTAAGACCAAATCTAAAATATAATCCAGACATGCCCTACAGAGAAGAGTGTCCTCAACTGCCTAGGAGGCCAGTGCACATTTCATCTTTACAAATATGATAGCACCATTTTGATCTTTTTAATACTCTGTCTATCTATCTATCTATCTATCTATCTATCTATCTATCGTTTTTGAGGATTTTTTTACTAATACTTTTGAACTTTCATTTCATTCATTAAATAATCCTGAAAAACACACATATTGAGCAGTTTTTTAAACATTGATTATAATGTGAAATGTTTCTTGAGCACAAATATCAGAATATTAGAATGATTTCTGAAGAATGACACTGTAGACTGGAGTAACGGCTGCTGAAAATTCAGCTTTGCCATCACAGGAATAAATTCCATTTTAAAATACATTCAATTGGAAAACATTTTCAACTGTAATAATATTTCACACTCTTAATGAACCCTTGGTAAGCATAGAAGATTTTCCAAAAACAGTAAAATCATTCATCTAAATGCATAAAGGAGATTTAAAAATATAAAAAAACGCTTTTATTTAGCATGCAGAAGTGTAGCCAACTAATATGTCTCCACTGATACAAGAATCAATATACACACATCAGTCTGTCAATGACATGATTATTTACAGGATAATGTTCTGCTCAGGTCAAAGCCAACACAGCCGAGACATAAGGTCATATGCTGTTAGACAAAAAACAACATGTAAGTCAACAGATGGCCACTCACAGACGCTCATTTACTGCTTTGATAAAGGCATTTTGCATAGTTCAGTGCATTAGGGAGACACATAAATCTGTGTGCTTAATATTTAAGCCAATTTAAACTGGTAGGTTTATACATAGGTCTTTGATGGACCAGTTTCGTGTCAGTCAAAATGGATTGTCTGATTTGTCTCACACCTTTGGAACACCAAAGATGGACAGGACTGGACAAATGGGACAGACCACCCAATGGTTCTGACTTTAAATCAGTCATGTGCTGTCCGGTTATAAGTAATGACCATATTTCAGCAAAATAAAGTGAAATGATTCTACATTTATAGTACAAAAATATAATGTTTTAATTGCTGCAAAGTTTAAAATCTGTGCTTAAAGGAATAAAACAGGTAACAATGCTCTAGATAACAGCTGCAAATCAATGTACTGTATGTACTGTTTGCTCTGACCGATGCATTAATCAATATTACCATACAATTAATGTTTCAGGATCAATCTTGACACGTGACAATTTGAGAGTGCAATCAATCAGGCAGACCTAACAGTTTAGTCAAGGTTATTTTAGACCCTACAATGCCATGAGTTTTTGCAGTAGTGTAGCAATGCTATATTTACTGTTAAACAATAACATTCAGTTGACTGAACCGAACAGAATGAATCAACTGAATCAACTCAACTGATCTGAAACGTAGAAATGAACAAATATCCACAAAAGCCATAATATATTTTGGATTTTATACCTCCAATGTGTTTGTGGGCATCCTTTTCTTGTATTCCAGCAAAAATGTTTGCAAGGATTGACTTCCCCACGCCGTGATCCCCCAACAAAACCACGCGATAAAGACACTCGGCTCCAGAGCTGTCCGACTCTGAGTCTGAAGACCAGTTGGCCCGTGAGTGGATGCTCTTGTCTCCGGGGTGGTACGAGGCTGATTGGGCAAGCGGAGGGTGATAGGGGTCAGCAGATGGGTCTCTTTCTCCCTTGCCTCCTTGACGAGAGGAGGGGATGGGAGTACTCGCTCTTCTCCTCAGCGGTTCCTTTCCCTCTTTCTGTGTGTTGAGTGTCATCTTATAAGCATAGATATGCCTGAACAAAAAAAAGTGCCAGGAAAACAAACAGTATGAGCATATTTTGTTACAATTACCCTGTAGTTAATGCAATACTGTCGAATAGTCTTGATTCACTGCATATACATCATACACAACTAGTAAAAAAACCTTCTTGAGGTGCATCCTGAGATGCTTTTTTAGGAGTCACTTGCTGACTGCTTCTGCTTTATTATCTAGTTAAAAAATGTAATGCTGATTTCTTTACAAATTTTGTAAAGACCTCATGCACTGTTTATATGTGTTTACATAAATAATTTTGAGCATTGGATATTTAAATCATTAGAAACATAAAAACGTGTAAACTTTGTAACTGGTAGCACCGAAGAGACCGGGGCTAGTTGTAACACTTTTTATTCCAATGAATATTTGGTTTATTTTTTATTTAAGTCAATTTCGGTATGCCTACACATAAATACAGCTAATATTTATAACTATTAAAATAGTTATTACATTGTAATAATAGCTATAATACTTAATATACTGTTGGATTTGAAAAAAAAAGAAATGTGTCAACTGTATGCATGTATGACATTTAAAACATGTGACAACTTGCCCCATTCTAAGAACAAAATGTAAATTTTCTCTTGTGTTAATATATGCCACTGTGGTTTTGTGTTCACTTGTTTACTAGGAAAAATGCTAGTTTAAGTTTAACGTAATTATTCTAATTAAAGGCACAATATGTAATTTTCACCGCTAGGGGGCACGTATTAAAAATAAACAAAGAGGCAACGGCGTAGTTTGACGACGCCGTGACTGAGTGTGGAATCATGGGAGTTGTGGTCTTCATCCCCACAGCCGATGCAATCCGACGGGACGTGGGCAGAAATCATGTTCATGGATGAGCTAATGATTTATTAACGTAGTAGAATGAAGCAGGGTGAGGCTGACAGCCGTCAAAGCGAAACGAGGCCACTGAACTAGCACGACACACACCTCGAAAGCAGCGGAGCTTTTATTATGCCACAGTCGACCACTTCCGCTCCTTCCGGTTGTGCGTATGTGGGGGGAAAAACAGCGCTGTTTTATCATACTAGATACATTTGAAAGTTCTGTTATTATGCTACTCTGTGCGGTCGTCACCTGTCTAATAAAACGCATAACATATTAAAGCGTCTTTGGTGTTTCCATGCTTTCTACAAAAAAAAACCGGAAATCAAGGTTGTATGACGTCATTGGCAGGCGACACAATGACACTATGGACACGCTCCGTGTCACTAGTTAAAATTGCTTATTTCTCTGGATTTAAACATTCTTCGAAACATTTGGGATAGTGTAAGTACACAAGTCAGCAAAATATATAACACTGTTCTAGTGGTTTTTGGATATTTTAATAAAAAAATCTTACATATTGTGCCTTTAAGTGAACTAGTGTTTGACACGAAACCACTGAGAGCGAAAAACATGCATTTGTCTATTTGGACTTCTTACTCTAAACATTATAGTTGCTGAAATCTTTGTGACAACTAGCCCCGGTGTCCTCTGCATATTCATGCATTTGATCATATTTCATGCATTTGATCATATTTCATGCATTAATAACAAGACAGCTGAACAACAAATTAGACATATTCCTACAAAAACATCTTGAGAAAGTGAAGTGTACTCACAAACATGTCCGTAAAAGAACGTTTTAACGCATACAGGTTCTCATCAAGCCGCAGAATGAAGTTTGAAGCTATTGGTAGTGAATCAATCAGTTTGCGCTTAGTGGAGTTCGATGTACCGGCTGCAGGGGAATACTACACCGCTGCAGTCATAGCAACAGCCCCGCGAGTTCCACAACGCTTTTAAAAATTGAAGAGCGGAATGAAGCATTTCTCTCAATCTCCCGCGCTGTCTGTCACGGTCTCGTCTCATCTCACCCGCACCGCGCGCAAGGAAGGAAAAACATCGGCGAGTTCACATCTGTGACCTTTCACTCACCTTTATCTCACCACAAGCAAGTTTTAGGAGTCCCAAGCGCGACTTCTCAGTTCATCCTTCCACTTGTAGACTTCGAGCGTCAGCCCTCAGAGCTGGATCGGTGTGAAGTTGCATATATCGTGTCTTTGTGATTAAACACAGGTGGGCTCCTGTTGCCAACTCAGCTCGAGCTCAGAAACCTGCTTTCTGTTTATGTTACTCACATGATCCGTAAACACAGCTCAACGAATGGGCCCTCAACTTTAAGTCTCGTGGGTCCTCGTTGAGCGTCTTTCAACATCATCCAGGGCCACGAAATGTTATAATGTGCCTTTGTAGCACCGTCCCACTCCATCCCCATGACGTCGTCCATGGTCTGTCATTTCCTGCTTAAAGCTGAGCTGAGCTGATATGTTATCAGGAGGTTCTCATTAGTCCTGCTGCTTTGATGTAAAACGCATCTTGATTTAATGATGTCATCACTGGGCACTGGGCAATCATGCAATGCAAAACCACACACATTGCATTTATTTTTCTTTAGAGAAAAAACATCCACAGCTGTTTCTTTTCTTGGTGCTTATGCAATTGGATAATGAATGTTGCAATTTTATTGCATCTGTTTAGTATTTTTGCTTCTAAAATAAGTTTTATTTATTGGAAAAAAGCATTCCAGCACCGAATACACATGGGAAAAAAAGAGCTCAGAATCATTGCAACAGTGAAATAGAGGAAATAAGAGTTATCCCCTGCTTAGATCTCGCTATTGTTGTTTTTTTTTTTACCAGGAATTTTTAATTCTCTGAGGCTCAACTGAATCTTTTCCAAATGAAACAGCAAAAGTAATCAAACCAGTCGCCCATACACTGGGGTGCTGAAATCCATAACTGTTCACAGAGCAAGACTTGTTCCCACACTTTGGTCAATTACATCAATGTCACAAAACTACTGTTTCATAGTTTGCAAAATGGCTTTGAAATGCCCCATTTGCAAGGTAAATGGAGTCATATATTGTCATAAAATGAAGCACATATACTGTACTTGGAGGATTGACACTTTAAAGTGTCATTAACTGCAATAACATTTGCTTGCTGACTGGTTCCAAACTTCAACATTGCGGTCCTCCGACATGGGAACATGGACCGATTATGAGCATCTTCTGCAAAAATTTAAGCTGCAATTGCATTTTTATGTGCTTTGCAAACAATACAAAGTACTGTGAAAAATGTTATAATACACCCTGTATTATAATTACATTATAAATGTCTTTACTGTAACTTCTGATCAGTTTATTGTATCCTTGCTGGATAAAGTACTAAATGTCTTTCAATCAATCAATCAATCAATAAAAAGAATTAAAAAAAAATCTTACTGACCCCAAACTTTTGAACAGTGATGTATGGCAAAGTCTTAAAATGTACAACATATATATGTGTACACACAGTATTTTATTGTGACACTTAAGACTGGAGTAATGTTTGCTGAAAATTCAATTTTGGCAGCACAGGAATAAATTACATTTTGAAACATTATTAAAACAGAAAACAGTTTTAAATTACTTTTAAATGGTAATATTTCACAATATATATATATATTTTTTTACTTTTTACTGTATTTTAGATCAAATATATGGCCTTGGTGAGCACAAGAGGCTTCTTTCAAAAATGTCTGAATGTTAGTATATTTGCAATGAGACTATTGTAGGTATGCTAATATAAAAAGTCTGGCTTTTAAAGAGGTATTTTGTTACTACTTACCAAATAAAAGTGGCCATTTAACATATGCAGCTTAGTTTGTGAAACACAAAAATACATGTATGCAGTTGCATGTCTAAAAGCACATCAGTAAATCATGGCATTTGCACTAGAGTGCAATATATTGTGTTTTTAGAAAAAAAAAGAGATGATAAAGCCTATAAAACAAACTGAAAGCAAAGACAAATAAAGAAAAGAAGATTTGTACAATTGTTTGACTGAGTAAAATGATTTAATGAAGTGGCTTCATTGATTTTCGTCAGTAATATATAGCAGCTCAAGGAAAGACTCAAAAAGGTAATGCCTTCAGCACAAGGCTACACAGGGAGCAAATCCACTTGGGGTACATTGAGATGGACGTCCATATCTGGAGTACACCTAAAATACAGAAAACACAGTGACAGTAACTGTATACAGCCATTATATGACCTTAAAGGGATAGTTCACCCAAAAATGAAAATGTAGTCATTTACTCTCCCTCATGTTGCTGCAAACCAAATGAAGATATTCAGAAGAACGGTTTTTGCCCATACAATGAATGTCAATAGGGTCCAAAACTATGGACAATGGACAAAAAAATACTTCTTTCATGTTCCACAGAATAAATTCATACAGGTTTGGAATGACAAATCATGACAGAATCTTCATTTTTTTGGTGCAAATATCATGTAAATCAGGAGGACTCCTTACAGGACATCTGCCCTTAAACATGGTCACCACAGCCTGAGACAGTTTGTTTAAGACAGGAAACATGAGAACTTTCTCTGCTGGGGCTCAGTACATCTGCAGATACTAAAGCCACGTCTCTGTCACGAGCGAAGCAGGAAATCCCAGATCTGTTTATCATTATCTCCATTTAATGGAAACCTTTATAACTTGGTGCTCAGTGTGACATGATATGTGAACACAGTGAATGTTTTTTTGCTTGTTTTCCACGTTCTTTGTCCTCTAGGGCAAAACACTTACAGACCGAAGGTCCATATGAATAAATCTTATCTGTGATAATAACAGCTCCCATGGGTGGCAAGAGGTTGTGCATGCACTCGCGGGACCTTGGAATAAAGTGTCCGATTGTTTTGGAGATATGACCAATTGTCATGGAGAGGAAAATGACATGCTGTTTTGGAACAGACTGTTGGGAAATGTGAAACCTTCATTAACCTTTAATGGGTGCCAGGGATTCCATGAATGCACAGCAATCTCTTGTTCTTCATTTATCTTTAAGATGGCCTTTGGAGTCTTTTCCAAAACTGTGTAATATAACACCATCTCCAACAGCTCAATGCTTTTTCCAAACCAAGCATTTGTTTGAAAGTAGATAGGGTACTTTTTCCTCTAGTTTACAGTATCTGATTCACAACGCTCCACTCCAATCTCCAAAAAAGCTTAATGGGTTAGTGAACATGTTGCTTATCATACAAATTTGCATGGTCATTCACCCAAAAATGAAAATTCAGCCATCTTTTACTTACTCTCATGTCATTTCCAATATGGCCCAAATTATTTCAACAACATAGGAGTGTTATTAATGACGTCAAACGAAAGTGGTGGAGATCCTGATGACTACTGTACTGTACACTCAAATCTTAGTAATGACGAAACTTGCAACCATAGGCTAATGATGCTTTTAGGAAACGAACCATGATTTTGTTATGAAGAACAAAAAAGAAGGTATTTTGAAAAATGTCTGTGTGTGTTTTTTTTTTTTACTTTATACAATGAAAGTCAAGGGGTCTAATTTGGTTTGGAACCCTATTGTCTTTAAAGGGGTCATATGATGCTATTTAAATTTTTTCTTTCTCTTTAGAGAGTTACAAGCTCTTGGTGCATAAAGAAGATCTGTAAAGTTGCAAAGACTAAAGTCTCAAATCCAAAGAGATATTCTTTATAAAATTAATTCAATATAATACATATAATTATGCCTATAGATAAGATGACATTATTCTACAATTATTATTTAAAGAGACTATGTGTAGTGGGTTAAAAACTGTGGGTTAAAAGCTGCAGTGAAAGAACTGAGTGAACTATTTAAAACTTGAAGACCCTGCATATATGGAAAGAATCTGTTCAAGACCTAGAAATATACATGACAGCTATTGATCATTCTATATATGGTAAGAAACACCTGTCTAAAAATACAACAATACATATATGGAATTATGTAACCAGCTCCAGGCATATATATATATATCTGTGTAGAAAAGACATTCTGGAGTTACCTTTGCAAACCGTAACTCGGCTTTGTTGTTTGATCAATAAAGTCTACTGGCTTCAAAACCTCTTTAGCAATTTATTTTGAACAAGGACATGGTTTTATGTTTACGCGGCGCGATGCAATGCGTAAAAAGACAGAATAAGTCTATATAATCAGTAATTATGCCCCCACTGGATGCAACAAATGTCTCGTTTATAATGGGTTTTAATGTCAAGCACATTTCATTACACCAAATACACCAAATGTTATTTTTAGCAACATCATATGACCCCTTTAAATGGACAAAAACAGTTGCGACTTCCTTTAGAATTTCTTCTTTTGCAAGGAAGTCTTACAGGCTTGGAACAACATGATGACTGACTAAATAATGCCAGAATTTTCATTTTCAGGTGAACTATTTCTTTAAATTGTTTCTCAATGCATTAAATGAGCATCTTATCTCATATTGGAAGTTAAATTCTCATGGGCTGTGTGCTGTCAGTATGTTTGAGAAGGCTCTTGAAAGTGAAGTTCTCTAAGTGTTGCTGTTCTATATCTGTTTATGGGAGGGGTCGGGTCATACTAACACTGTTAGACATTTCGAGGGGTTTGTTGAACTTCCTTTCAAGTGGCCAATTTTGTGAGAATGTTTCTCTGCAACTGCAATTATTGTATAACTTGGGAATGCTTCAGCTGAAGAGCTGTTTGTGATAAAGAAGCTGTTTGCCTCAATAACTTAATGTCCTCATTCACTTACTTGTCTGATTTCAGGAAAACATCTGGAAAGATCTCTCTCCTGATGTTTTTTGGTCTTGATAGTTGCAGTTCCTGAATACTCTTCCTTAGCTCTTCATTCTTTCGCTCAATCTCCATTATCAACTTAAAAAAATATACAGTAATTTAAATTTACAATGAAAATAAATGTAGTATTTTAAAATATCCATTCCACTTTAATATTCAATAATAAACTTTAATGTATACTTTTAAATAAAAAATAACTACCTTTTTCTGTTTATGAATCTCTTCCCTCATTGTATCGTTCTGTGAGGCCATCAGTTTGACAATGGGAGGGATGTGGGAAGCATGTTTCTGAAAATCAAACCATAAACACATTTTTTTAATGATGCTCCGGAAGTACAAAATGATCTCCATTTAAAATAACATAAATCTAAAAATCAACACAGAAGAGCTTCTTTACCTCAACAACAGCAGACAGCACATCTTGTTCTCTTTGGCACTGGCGTCTCTCCAAATTGACCATTTCTTTCTTAAAAAACAGATTCAAATCTTCTTGCTCTTTCTGTCAATTATAAAGGGGGCAAATACACTACAATGTTATTGCACACTGAAGTGTTCTTATGGGAGCTGGAACCACGTGTTTTTTTTTTTTTTATAAATAAAAGATTTTCCTGGATATAACTTTGATTACTTTTTACTCAGTCATCCAGCAATAAGTCCTGCTCATATTTTACCTGCTGCATCTCTTTCAGTCTGTCCAGCTTTCTTTCCATGTCTGCAATCTGCAAAGCCTTGACTGGGAACTCCATATCTTTGTATGTCTTCAGTCTGCGGAGCTCTTTCTGAGCCTCTACCACCTTCGCTTTTAGCAGATCCAACTGCTTCTGCAAACCTACATTTATCAGATGAACTCAGCTGAAATTTGTTGCTGCAGTTAAGAACATAAAAGATCATGTTTGACTGGTTAGGGATATTCAATACTTGCAAAATTTTGAAAAGGTTTGAGTTCAGTGCACAATGTGTACGGTAGGATCTAAAGATGTGATACAATTTCTCTCACCCTCTTTTGCTCTGTCTGGATGAGTAGTTCATTGGTTCTGGCGAATGAGCTTCTGTCCGTATCCATTATGTTTCTGGCCATCTGCAGGTTCCTCTCTTGAAGCTGTTCACAGAGCTCCTCCAGGTCTTTTATTGCTTCTTTCCTGGATTTGATGAGTAACTACAACAGATTGCAGCCGTTGACATGGCATATACACCAAACTAAGCACAAGTGAACTATTAAAGTCTGCTTTCCTTCTTTATACTACTGTACACACCATCAGTTCTTTGATGTTGTATTTCGTCTTTGAGGTGACCTGGTCCTGTTCCACTTTTTCAGCCGTCCTTCTTGAAGGGAATTTGAGGAGTGTTTGTGAAATCATTGTGGACATGAGATTGAGATTTCCCTGTTCATAAAGCAGAGATTACAAAAGAATTCATAAAGACAGATATGTAAGTTGAAAGTTTTTAGTCTACCTGCAGCTGTATTACTTTACAGAAAGCAATAGGCTACTCATACATGAAAGAATAAATGGGGGTGTGTACTGCAAACCTTTTCATTATGCCAAAAAATGCCAGACCACTACATTAACATTACAATACATTACCATAACAGAGTCAGTCATACCACGGAATTAAAGTTATGCATATCTTGACCTGCCATGCTGTTTTCTTCTTCAGAGCCGTCGACATCAAATTTACCGACAGTTCCAACATTTCACATGTTTGCCATAGCAACCGGAGAAACACGCCTGGTACAGCGTACTTCTGCTGCCATCTAGTGGACATACTAAGCATGCGCAAAACTGCGCTGTACTATTATCATTATGTGGCCTAACAGTAAAGAGCATGTATTTATGAACTTCTATAAATCCCTATATATTCTATGTGATTGTAGCAAAATTGAGTGTATAAAGAATTCAGTTGTGAAATCTCCCAATTCTTGTCAAAATTCCACTTTTGTTATTATTACATTTTCCCCTGTCATCTGTAAAAACACACTAGGCTTACTGCTCTTTTTTTTATTGAATGGGAAATTAATGTTTAATTAATGGGTTTGTATTGTCTATTTTTTAACCCTCTCTAAATACATAAATAAAAACTTTTATGATGTTGTAATGGAAATGATTTACAATATACTTCTTTTCGAAATAGCCTACACTTTAATTGCTGACATTTCTGCATTATAGATAAGATGCATGTTTATAGAAGAGAAGGTTATACAAACAGGTCTATATTTAGTGGCACATTTACAACGCAAACAGTGAATATAAAATGTATTATAAATAGCATAAGAATGATTCAAATATCCAACTTTATCGTTAACATATTTTTTATTTATTTAGTCATTTAGCAGACGCTTTTATCCAAAGCTTGGGAATTATATTACTTTGTATAATGAACAGCATTGCATATTTTTTTCTGCATAAAAAAGGTGGGATTAATATTATGAAATCATCAATATACAAATGCATATACAGCCTTCACAGCACAAAAAAGACTAACATTTAATGAATAACATATGGAATAGCCCAGTGTTTTAAGTTTGTTGTTATGGCACCATCAAACTAGATCATATTTTGGATCACTGCAAATAGTAACATTTTAACATTTAAATATTTAAAATGTGTTATTGAAACAGATGCTCTGTAATTGCATTGAAAAGTATAAAGAAACAGAAAACATGATCATAGTATATCTGCAGATTTTCCTGGATGAGGTTTTGATTGGCAGTTCCAGTGTTGATGACATCACGCCGTGTTGTTGTTGATGTCCATGCGGCTGATGAGCTCTGTGACGAGCGCCTGCAGCGTCTCCGAGCGCATTTTGCTCACTTCCAGCACAGCTTCATGACTGACAGACTCATTGTCCTCATAGCTTTTCACCACTTTGTTAGTGATGAGGGAGAGACCAAAGACCCTCATGCCACAATGACTGGCGACCAACACTTCTGGTGCGGTACTCATTCCTTTAAAGGCAAGACAGACATAAATTTAAAATAAATGCATAATTATGACAATATAACAATATGACTTACTATTTCTATACAATACACAGGTGTGTATTAACATAGCAATTAGGCCAAAATGGCCTACTGGCTTATTATATGGCTACTTAACAACTACAAATATAAATGCACTTGGAATATTGATTTAAGTTTAAGAAATTATTCTATTATGTATATAGGGACCAATATTAACTAGTTGCTAATTAGCATGCATATTATTAACATATTGGCTGTTTATTAGTACTGATAAAGCATGTAAGCACATATTCTGCATGACCATATTCTACATCCCTAAAAACCTAAACTTAACAACTACCTTTCTAATTATTAATAAGCAGCAAATTAGGAGTTTATTGAGGCAAAAGTCATAGTTAATGGCTTGTTAATAGCAAGAATTGGACCTTAAAATAAAGTGTGTGACCAAAAATTCTATTATGACTATGATATAAACCTATAATGTCACAGAGTGATACAAGAAATGTGAAACTAACACAGCTGTGCAGGAAATCAGATGCCCGGCACAGCGGCCAATTGTACAGTTTAACGGTCATTACAGAAAAATATGAGTCTGTTGAATGCAGTGACCGACCAATCAGAACCAAGTATTCCAGAGAGACGTGTAATAGAGGAGCTCATTCATCAGGCAGTGAAATGACCTGATATTCAGTACTTTCAGGGACATTAAAACATGAAAAATAAAAACAAAAACTAGGGATGCATGATATATTGGTTATAAAGTCAATATTATATTATTATAATTCATTGCCAACAATCGATATTGGATATTTCATTGTGCATGCTAATTATCTCTATTTTTACATTTATTAAAACACTAAAATTTTTATAATGTAATATAATGTAACCATTAGTCAATCTCAATATATGAAATAAATCAACTGACTATATACAATAGAATGTTATTATAATAACTGTATAAATTCTGGTAGCAACTGACTTCAATATGTTTTTGTTTTTTTTCCATACTATGGAAGTCAACGGCTACCAGCAACTGATTGTTCTTCAAAATATCTTCTTTTGTGCTCAACAGAAGAAAGAAACTCACATAGGTTTGGAACAACCAAAGGTTGAGTAAATTATGACAATTTTCATTTTTGGGTGAACCATCTCTTTAGGTGAAGTTGTTGCTAATTTACATCATCAGTCAAAGTGAAAAGCAATTTACAGATTTGGATTAGTTACGAATTGTATTGATTTTCCTAACCGAGACACCAGCTTACCAACTGCATCCACTCCCAGTTTGTGCAGAAGGCCGGCCTCAGCTATGCTCTCAAAGTTGGGTCCTCCCACCATGCAGTAGACGCCTTCTTGGACATACTGAGAGACGCCCATGCTCTTACAGATGTCGAACGCCATCTTCCGTAGGCTTTTGTCATAAACCCCAGACATGGGTGGAAATCGAGGACCAAACCTTGACAGCAGCAGATAAATGATTACATTCCTTGTACTGGTGATTCTAATGAATGAACGCTTTCTTAACTCACTTCAACATGTACATTGATACTCACTTATCATCATTAGGGCCACTGAGCGGGTTCAGTCCAGCAAGTCCAGGGAAGTTAATGTGGTCACGTATGATCATAATATCACCACAGTTATAACTGTCCGCTAATGACCCTGCAGCATTAGTGACCATCAAGGTTTCGACACCCAGTAGCTTGAACACTCTTACTGGAAAAGTGACCTGAGGAACACAAGTGCAAATTCTGTCAATCCATTTTCAACATCCAGTACCTTTGTAATTAACTTTTAAAAGCTTGCGGGTGTACTGTACAGAGATACCTCCAATAAGCCATTTTAATCTAACCCTGTCTTATATAAACCACACAAAAGTTACATTTACATTTACATTTAGTCATTTAGCAGACGCTTTTATCCAAAGCGACTTACAATTGGGGGATACATAAAGCGATTCTTCTTAAAGAGGCAAACAGACACAGGAAGTGGTTGTAATACCAAGTTCTTAGACATTGTTCAAATAAGTACAAGCTAGAAAGAGGATGAATAAATAAAGAATAAAAAGTTTCACTGAATAGTTCATTGTGCTCTGATTACAGCATGTGACTCAAATCAGCATGACCAGGCTGGAGTGAATATACTGTGCGGGCATCCAAAAAGAAAAAAATCTCCTTATTCTATCATCATTCTAGACTGCAGAATGACACAGCATAAATAGAACAGTGTTTTGGAGTCACTTTTGGAATGCATTTGTGACATGATGAAACTATCAAGATACACATTTTGTATTATCCCGAGCCATTATGCAACTAAAGCTTGATGGGACATTAAAATAAGTTAGTTCAAGAAATATACAAACTTACCAAGATGAACTGAAGTGAAAATTGTTAAAAAGAGTACTTTTATTCACATTAAAATGATTAAAAGTGATAGTAAAACATATACAAAGTTGTAGCATTACTGCTTTTAGCATTGATAATAATAATAAAAATAAGCAATATTTCTTGAGCATCAAATCAGCATATTAGAATCATTTCTAAAGGATCATGTGACACTTAAGACTGGAGTAATGGCTGCTGAAATTCAGTTTTGTATAACAGAAATAAATGTTACAATATATTAAAATAGAAAAATAGTTATTTCAAATTGTAATAATATTTCACAATACTGTTTCTACTGTATTTTTGATCAAATAAACACAGCTTTGGTGAACATAAGAGACTTTTTCCAAAACAATAAAACATCTACAGCATAAATTTGAACAATAATTTATGGAAAAGAAGTGTAGGATTTAGTGCCACTGTTTTAAAAAGATCAAACCTTGCTTAGTGAGTGTCCCTCATACATGTGGAATCGGCCCTGCATGCACACGCAGGTCTTCCCTTTGAGCTCTCCAAAAACCAGCCTTCCAGCATGACCCTTCACTGTTTCAATACACACAACACACACAAGCATTACTACATACAACATAACACACTACAAAAATGTTTTTAGAATTTTGTTTCCATCCATTTAACATCATAATAATGCCAACATTATTCAAGTTTCAACTTAATTTTCTTTCTCACTAATTTAATCAAAAATGGTGCAATGAATCTGCTAGCTGTAATTTTGTCACTTTAAAATTTAAGGCACCATTTAAACTAAAATCCTCGATTTCTGCAGGCTAAACGTTTAACAGTGTAACGAGCTAGCACGATATAACATTTTTAGCTAATACTTTTGTCTTAATACTTTGGGGGAAGTCGTGGCCTAATGGTTAGAGTCGGACTCATAACCCAAAGGTTGCGAGTTCGAGTCTCAAGTCCGGCAGGAATTGTAGGTGGGGGGAGTGAATGTACAGCACTCTCTTCCACCTTCAATACCATGACTGAGGTGCCCTTGAGCAAGGCATTGAACCCCCAACTGCTCCCCGGGTGCCGCAGCATAAATGGCTGCCCACTGCTCCGGGTGTGTGTTTTTCAGCTCAGTTGCATGCTCTGAGCTGCATCTTACCTGTGCTCTGAGGAAAGCCAGGGATGTCAGAGTATTTGAAAGAGTCTTGGCATTTGAGCGCATCTGCCAGCATTCCCAGTCCAGAGCCGCAGATGATGGCTACTTTTGGTCTGTGTTGTGTCTGGGACAGCAGCCAGTCTGCAGTTCTCTGATAGTCCTCATGGCTGGTGATGAGAAAAGAAAAATCTTTATTAAACTAAAAGCCTGACTTATTATATCCCTGACTGTTCCATTTCAGGTCTATTGTGACTATTAAAAAGTATTATATTGGCATTATTGATTAAAAATGGCAAATACCCCTTTGCTTAACCAGAATCATGTTTTATACGATAAAATGTCATACAATATCCAACATTTAACAGAGCTAAACTTTACATTTTTGACAAAAAGTAGTTATGTATGCTATTTTCCTTCGTACACACAATCCTAAGATATATTTTCAACCTTAAGATGGAAAGAAAACTTACCAGATTTGATCTTTACTATGCATGTTAGTGTTGTGTGTTCGTCTTGAAGAACGTTTTCAACTGAAGAGTGATCCTGGATTTTAGCAGTGTGTGAATGAGAGCAGCCCTCTCCATTTAAGTAAACCCAATGCCTGACCTCACTAACACACACAAATGCTCTGATTGGTTACAACTCAGTATTATAGTTTAGTCATGCCTAATGAAATGTTTTGTAATTTGTAGGTGTGTCTGGGTTTAAATATCAGATGCAAGCAAAACTTTCAATCAGATTTGGGGGATGTAAGGTTTTAAAACCTACCACATAAGAATATCTGGCACTCATATCAGTAGAGATTTTTTTTCCTTCAGTGTACTTACAGAATGTTTTTGCCTGTGAATGCATGGCAAATTTAACTGTTCACAAGGGAAGTTTTTTTTTTGGACAGAATCAATCATAAGACCAGAAATCATCAATTGGGAAGAAAGCAGAAATGAATAACAAAACAAGATCAACATGTGACTATAGATAAATTTGACACATTAATTTCCTTCTGCATTTGTTTCCTAGTTGTATTTTCTAATGTATGCTGAAATAGATGATCAGTATTCTTACTTTTCAATAAAAGTTTAATGCAGAATTTACATGTACAATTAGGCCCGCTTAATGCAGCTCAAAAAGTGTGTATAGTTCCAGCATGCAGTATTAGATCTGCCAATGGGTCGAACTCGAGTTCTGCCACAGGATCGGTAACATGTGAGGCCCATTACCAGAGGTGCAGACTCCAAACCAAATCCAAAGCACGGGACCAGAAAAAATTTAATTTGGGGACCTCACAAGATTTGTCTGATTGCAAGCAATTTTCTACTTTTAGATGCAGACTCCAAAGTTTGAAAAAACATTTCATATGTATAATGCAACTTCACTTCTCTAGACATTACTATTATTAAGTGTAATGTATTTCACACAGTGGTTGACCCTGCTTCTCATTGGTGTGCATAGAATTGCCCTAGACCGAAATCAAACGCTGATACACCACTTTCCCACACATTCTTCACTTTTAGAATCAGCATCTGAAAGACAAAAAAAATCAGAAAACACAGCAATCATTTGAACTTATATAATGTACAATCTGAAGGTCATTATGACAAAATAAACACAGATTCACATGGGTGTAACACACATGGGTGTATTTTTCTTGCTTATTATATGACTACTTACCAAATAAATGAATAACATGAATAAGTACATAAATAAATGCACTTGGAATATTGAATCAAGTTTTAGAATATTCAAGATATGTGAAACTAACACAGCTGTGTAGGAGATCAGTTGCCTGGCACAGCGGTTAATTATACAGTTTAACGGTCATTACAGAAAAATATTTGTCTGTGGAATGCAGTGATTGACCAATCAGAACCAAGTATTCCAGAGAGCCATGTAATAAAGGAGCTCATTCATCAGGCAGTGAAATAACCTAAAATTTAGCACTTTTAAAGGGGTCATATGATGCTGCTAAAAAGAACATTATTTTGTGTATTTGGTGTAATGAAATGTGTTTATGCGGTTTAAAGTTAAAAAACACATTATTTTCCACATACTGTACATTATTGTTTCTTCTCTATGCCCCGCCTTTCTGAAACGCGTCAATATTTACAAAGCTCATCGTTCTGAAAAGCGAGGTGTGCTCTGATTGGCCAGCTATCCAGTGCGTTGTGATTGGCCGAATACCTCAAGCGTGTGACGGAAATGTTACGCCCCTCACCATATTGTGATGCCCTGTCTGGCCGGAGCGACGATTCAAAAACATGAAAATCCATTACAAACGAGGCATTTGTTGCATCCAGTGGGGACATAATTACGGATTATAATGACTTATACTGTCTTTTTACGCATTGCGTTGCATTGCGCCGCGTAAACATAAAACCATGTCTGCATTTGTGATCGGAGAAATGACAAATAAGCGCTACTCTACACTGTTCAAAACTCGTGTTTGAATCATCAGTGGCAAATCCTTTAAATGAAAACGTACTTACAGTTTGTGAGTCAGAACAGGCATTGTAGTCTACTCTTCCAGGATCAGGAAACAGTCCTCCATAAAATGCGCAGCACACATCTGAATATTTGGGTTGAACTGTTCTGGAACAGTGTTGTAAATACAACTTAACCACTGATTTGTAGTCGTGTCCTCTTTTGGAAGACCAAACAAAGTAGTTTCGCTTTCACAACGAAACA